CTGGAAAAGGATTTTGGTCTGAGATGCTAGGTGTGGGGGATTTCTATTACGAGCTGGGTGTCCAGATTATTGAAGTATGCCTGGCCCTGAAGCACCGGAATGGAGGTGAGGCTGGCTGAGTCCTGCACACTGGGCTTTGGACTTCTCAGAGGGAGAAAACCTTGAAAGGTGATCTTTTCCATCCTGTAGTCTGCAGGCCAATAAGATCTTGAGAACCTGTTAGGTCTTCAGAAGCATCTTAGTGGCTTCATGTGGTTGAAAAATGGAATTACCCGAATGATTGTCTCTATTCCCTAGAGATCTTCGCCCAGGAAGGTCTTAGCCCCTGGTTATTACAGAAAATAATAGGGAGGTAGGAAATAGGCCTTTTCCCCTGATAAACAACACGTCCAGGTTATGATTTTATCATTAGTAACTATGTATGCTGGCGCTCCAAGGTGGGGTGGTGCCAAGTTTCTAGGCTCCCCAAAACGTGACCTAAAAATGGTCATCCAGTGGTGTCATCTTAATAAAGCACTTCGAATGGTCTGTGTTGAAGTTAGAAAGAAAACTTAAAACCAGTTATAAATCATTGGTCATAAATAGATACGGCCTTGATGTTAAGAGCGCCTTTATAGTTTTTCAGAGATGATGCTGCCCCTGTTTTTTGTATTTTTGTTTTGGGTTGGCTTGGCTTAGCCATAAAGGTAATCCTCCATCTGCTTTCCTCCCCGCTCCCCTAGGTCTGATAACTCTGGAGGAACTGCATCAACAGGTGTTAAGAGGAAGGGGCAAGTTCGCGCAAGACGTCAGCCAGTAGGTCTTACGCCTTCCAACCCCTTAGAGTATAGAAAGGTCTTTAAAAATCAGATGGAAATCTTTTCTCTTTACCGCTCGCATGTCTAGGCTACTTTTGGGATCATTTTTGTTCCTCTTTATGATCAGAAAACATGTTTTTTAGAAAACTGAAAATACAGAGATATAAAGAACCAAAAGCCACCCGTTGTTTCTCAACTGAGAGATTACAACTGTTGACATTTTGGTGTATTTTCTTCTAAGCGTCTTTTTTTCATGTGTACGCATGTATTGTTACTATTTTTTTTTTTTTTAACATACTTGGGGCTTAATCTTCAGATTATTTGAGGTCGAGGAGATTAGCGCAGGCACTGAGAAAGGCTGGGGAATGGAGTGGGGGGTCAGAAGATGGGGTACAAATTGATCTGGTTCCCCAGCCTCTGGGTGTGACTTCAGTTTGAGAAAAGGTTAAAAAAAAAGGCTGTCAGTATGTGGGCTGGGTATAGGGTCTACACACTGTCTTGTGGGTTTTCTTTTTCCCTAATTCGAGTTAGTTGTTAACCAGAAACCAGATAACCGGCAGGACTGGGCCTGAATTTCCAAATGGCAATAATCAGCTGGGTTGCCCTCTGTAAAATGGATAAGCATTTTCTGTTTTGCCGTAGTTCACGCTGCTCCCTGTCTCTCGCATTTAGCTCATTCATTCACATTCCCCGATGGGCTCCCGTGGGCAGATTTTTTGACCTGTGTCCGGGGTTAGAAAGGTTTGCTGAGCGGAGAGCCCCGCACTGTACTGTCTCCCGTGAGCGTCCTAGCACCGTCTGGTGCCCCTCGGCCTTACCTTTTTATTGATGTCACCGACTGGTGTGCAGCCTTTTGAGTCTTCCGTCAGGGTGTCCTGGCCCGGGGCAGAGCTGAGACACTGCGTCGTGGCTGGGGGTGGTGTGCCAGGGGTCCTTAAGCAGCTCTTCCTCACCTCAGAGACGACCTGATCAGGGCCATCAAGAAACTGAAGGCGCTGGGCACGGGCTTCGGCATCATCCCTGTGGGCGGCACCTACCTCATTCAGTCTGTTCCGGCTGAGCTCAACATGGATCACACGGTGGTGCTGCAGCTGGCCGAGGTACTGGTCTGCCTTCTGGGGGCGGGGGGCGCCTG